CTGAAACCATCTGGACCTGGAGTTTTGTTCTTAGGTGATTTTTTGATTACCAATTCAATTTCCTTGCTGGTAATTGGTGTATTCAGATTTTCTGTTTCTTCCTGGGTCAGCCTTGGAAGGTTGTATTTATCTAAAAAGTTGTCCATTTCTTCTAGGTTATCCAGTTTGTTACCATATAAATTTTCATAGTATTCTCTCATTTTTACATATAATGAGTATTTTCTCATTATATACAAATAATTGTACATACATTCTCATTATATACAAATAATTTGTATATACAAATATTGTATATAATGAGTATTCTCTCATTATATACAAATAATTCTTTGTATTTCTGTGGTTTCTGTAGTGATTTTTCCTTTTTCATTTCTGATTCTGTTTATGTGTGTAGACTCTCTTTTTTTCTTGATAAGTCTAGCTAGGGATTTATCTATTTTGTTTATTTTCTCAAAGAACCAGCTCCTGCTTTCATTGATTCTTTCTATTGTTTTATTCTTCTCGATTTTATTTCTGCTCCAATCTTTGTTATATCCTTCCTTCTACTGACTTTTGGCCTCATTTGTTCTTCCTTTCCTAGTTTTGTTAATTGTGAGTTTAGGCTGTTCATTTGGGATTGTTCTTTCCTGAGGTAGGCCCGTATTGCAGTATACTTCCCTCTTAGCACGGCCTTTGCTGCATCCCACAGATTTTGCATTAATTATTGTTTAATTTGTTTAATTTTCATTGTCATTTGTCTCCATATATTGTTTGATCTCTTGTTTTTATTTGGTCATTGATCCATTGTTTGTTTATAAGCATGTTATTAAGCCTCCATGTTTTTGTGGGATTTTTCATTTTCTTTGTGTAATTTATTTCTAGTTTCATACTTCTGTGATCTGAGAAGCTGGTTGGTACAATTTCAATCTTTGTGAATTTACTGAGGCTCTTTTTGTGGCCTAGTATAACATCTATTCTTGAAAATGTTCCATGTGTACTTGCAAAGAATGTCCTGCTGCTTTTGGGTGTGGATGGAGTGTTCTGTAGATGTCTGTTATGTCCATCTGTTTTAATACATTGTTCAGTGCCTCTGTCTCTTTACTTATTTTCTGTCTGGTTGATCTGTCCTTTGGAGTGAGTGGTGTGTTGAAGTCTCCTTAAATAAATGCATTGCATTCTAGTTCCACCTTTAATTCTGTTAGTATTTGTTTCACATAGTAGGTGATCCTGTGTTGAGTGCATAGATATTTATAATAGTTATATCCTCTTGTTGGACTGAGCCTTTTATCATTATGTAATGTCCTTCTTTGTCTCTTGTTACTTTCTTTGTTTTGAAGTCTATTTTGTCTGATACAAGTACTGCAACTCCTGCTTTTCTCTCCCTATTAGTTTCATGAAATATCTTTTTCCATCCCTTCACTTTTAGTCTGTGTATGTCTTTGGGTTTTAGTGAGTCTCTTGTAGGCAGCATATAGACTGGTCTTGTATTTTTATACATTCAGTGACTCTATGTCTTTTTATTGGTGCATTCATACCATTTACATCCAGGGTGATTATCGATAGGTATGTACTTATTGCCATTGAAAGCTTTAGATTCGTGGTTACCATAGGTTCAAGGGTAATTCCCTTACTATCTAACAGTCTAATTTAACTCACTTTGTATGCTATTATAAACATAACCTAAAGGTTCTTTATTTTTTCCTTTTTCTTCCTCCTCCAGTCTTTATGTTAAGTATCATATTCTGTACTCTTTGTCTATCCCTTGGGTGACATCTATTTAGACTTACAAATGCTTCCATCTATATAAGTCCCTCCAAAATGCACTGTAGAGGTGGTTTGTGGGAGGTAAATTCTCTTAGCTTTTGCTTATCTGAAAATTGTTTAATCCCTCCTTCAAATTTAAATGATAACCTTGCCTGGTAGAGTATTCTTGGTTCAAGGCCCTTCTGCTTCATTGCATTAAATATATCATGCCACTCCCTTCTGGCCTATAAGGTTTCTGTTGAGAAATATGATGATATCCTGATGGGTTTTCCTTTGTATGTGATCTTTTTTCTCTCTCTAGCTGCTTTTAAAAGTCTGTCTTTATCCTTAATTTTTGCCATTTTAGTTATCATATGTCTTGATGTTTTCCTTGGGTCTCTTGTATTGGGAGATCTGTGCACTTGCGTGGCTTGAGAGACTATTTTCTTCCCCAGATTGAGGATGTTTTCAGCAATTACCTCCTCAATGACACTTTCTATTCCTTTTTCACTCTCTTTTTCTTCTGGTACCCCTATAATATGAATAATGTTCCATTTGGATTGGTCACACAGTTCTCTCAATATATTTCATTCTGAGATTCTTTTTTCTCTCTGTGCTCAGCTTCTTTGTATTCCTCTTCTCTAATTTCTATTCAATTTACCATCTCTTCTGCTACATATAATCTTTTAAATCCCTCCATTGTATGTTTCATTTCAGATATCTTAATGATTGAATCTCCGTCTTAAATTCATCCGAGTTCTTGAATATTTTTCTCTTCCTCCATGAGCATGTTTATGATTTTTATTTTAAACTCTCTTTCAGGAAGATTGGTGAGTTCAGTTTCATTTGGTCCTTTTTCCGGTGTTTGTGAGTTTTGATCTGAACCATGATCTTCTGACGTTTCATAATTCTATGTGGTGCCCTTTAGTGCCCAGAAGCTCTAGTCTCTGGAGCTGCTCAGCCCCTAGTGTGAGGTTGGTGGTTGTAGGGAAGCAGTGCTGGTGCCTGGCTGGAGGAAAGATCTGTTTCCTGATTCCTGTCTGCAGTGCCTGTCTCCAGTGTCAGAGCCAGTGGTCCAAGCACACAGGTATAAGCTTCTGTGCTTGGTGTCTCTAGCTGTTGTAGGCAGGGCCTCCCTCTGGCTGGCCTGATGCCAGTGCAGTGACTGCCAGTTTGTGAGCAGGTGCCAGTAGGCCAGGAGGAAGGCGCATTAGGCTGCGTGTCACAGTCGGGGGAACTTGGAGCTGAGTATGCAGCCATGGGGAATGAGCACCTGAAGCTCCTCAAAGTTCCCGACCCTGCTGGGCAGAGTGCGCCCAGACAACCTTGTCCACCTATTCCTTCTCCCGTGCAGCAAGCTCCATGTAAACTCTGCCCCTTCAGCAGCCCTCTTGCCACTAGGAAGCCTCTCAGACTTCCTGTCTTTCCTTTATCCCAGAGTGGCTGGATATGGATCCCTGTCCTCCACAGATGACCAGAATCTTAGTCTGTCAAGCACTCCGCCTGTCCCAGCTCCCCAACCCCATCAACCTTCAGAGCACCACACAATGTAGGTTTGTGCTCCAAAGCTGACCTCCAGGGCTGGATGTTCAGCAGTCTTAGGCTTCCACCCCCTCCCTGCTCCGTTTCTCTTCCTCCTGCCGGTGAGCGGAGGTAGGGGAAGGGCTTGGGTCCCGCCAGATCAAGGCTTTCGTATGTTACCCTGTTTTGTGAGGTCTGCTCTGTTCATGAGGTCTGTATGCAGTCCGGTTCAGCCTTCTTTCCTGTTGCTGTTTTAGGGCTATTTGTATTAACCATATTTTCACACTATATGTGGTTTTGGGAGGAATTCTCTGTCTCACCTCTCATGCTGCCATCTTGAATCTCTAGTGGCTTTTATTTTTAAAAAATTTACCCCATTGTCAAGATGAGAAAGCACAGGCTGAGTAGTTAGCATACAGGACGTGGCAGAGCCTGCATTTGAACCCGTCTGCCCAACTTGTCCACTGCATTGCATTGCCTGTTGGTTTGCTGTTGGGATAGATAGTGACTGCCTAAGAAGTGTCTGCTTGGGAGGAAACAGAAAATGTTCAAATGGGGTTTGATAAAGTAGTGTGTTATGTTGAAGGAGTGGAAAGTATCTGTCTTTATAATGTCACATTTTTGAAAATTGAAAAAAAGTACAAAATAGTGCAAAGACTAAATGAGAAGAAACATCTTTGTATCTATGATTCAGAATAAACAGTTTTTGCTTCAGATTTTTTAATGAAGGAAGAAAATTAATGGTACCATTGAAACTCTTCCTGTAAACCTCCTTAATCCTGTTCCTCTCTTCTACCCTTTCTTAAACAGACAAAACACTGAAGAATTTTAGGCATATTCTGTCATGTTTTTATACTTCCATAATGTGCATTAAGACAAGAGCTTTGTGGTTTCTGGCATGACTATACCGCCTTTTTTCTGTATGTTCTCATATGATTGGATGTTTTTGTCTCTCCTAATTCTCTGTAAGAAAACACTGCCGTGCACATCCCTGTACTCTCTTCTTGTGCACTCAAGTGAGACTCTCTCTGGGTCACCTACCTAGTAGTAGAGTAGCCGGATCAAAGGGTACTTACATTTTCAACTTTTCTAGATACTGGCAATTTTTCATCCCAGTTGTTTCTCAGTTCACATTCCCACTAGTAAAGACTGAATATGCATACAGACAATGGCAGACCATATGTAAAAATAGAACTCTGACCTGCAACTGGCAGAAACCTGCCTCAGTAATCTGCTTGTTACCTGTTAGACCTGCAGGAAGCTATTGTCTTAATTTGCATATGACTGATTATTAGTGGGATTGAGCCACTGTATAAGACAGTTCTTTCCAGAGCAGGTTAAGGGATTTACAGAAAGAAGTAAAGAAATTACCTTTTAAAACAGGTGAAGATAAATATCAGATGATTTAACTTTCTGATAGGGTGGGGAACAGAGCCTAGAACCACTATTTTAGACTTTTAAGCACAAACATTTTTTCCTAAATTTTAAGGAGGGCCATGAGTAAGATGAAAACTGACCTACCCGGCTTCCTCCCTTTCCTACCTGCCTCCCCTGCCTCCAGATCCACCTGAGACACCGTGGTGGAGTCCTTGGACTAGGCCCCAACCTGCACAATGCCTTAGAATGCCCATGGCTTGAGAATTTGGTGAAATTCCATTTTCTTTTTAATGGCTCTGAAACTCAGTGTAGAAGGGGAACTTGAGAAACTCTGTAAGACTGGGCTAAATGTGTCCTCTATTTCTTTGGTCTTTTGGCAGGCAGGAATTTGTGGATGCCTATGTGAACTATATCTTCCAAACCTCAGTTCATGAATGGTACACAGCCTTCTCCGATGGCTTCCTAAAAGTGTGTGGTGGCAAAGTGCTCGAGCTCTTCCAGCCTTCAGAGCTGAGGGCCATGATGGTGGGCAACAGTGACTACGACTGGGGGAAGCTAGAGGAGGTAAGCCTTGGAGGCGCTGTCTTTGGCCTCTTGAGGAAGCACGGTGACCTGGCCGGGCGTGCCTGGAGCCCAGTCTCTTCCTTGCATGCTATGGTCCACGGCATCGCAGGCCTCCTGCATCCCAGTGCCATGTCTTACTTACTCTCAGATGCAAATGGTATGCAAATGGCCGCCACAATGTTCTTCTATAAGGTACATTTTTTTCTTTTTTGAGCAGACTGCGATCTACAAGGGTGATTACTCAGCCACACATCCCACTGTGAAACTGTTTTGGGAAACATTTCATGAATTTCCATTGGAAAAGAAGAAGAAGTTTCTCTGTGAGTATCAGTAGTGTCGGTGTGGCATTTGTCCAGTTTTGTCTCTCACATGGTGTAGGATGATATACTCCACAGGTAATGTTTAACTCTTTTAAATGGTAAAGAATAAGGAAGGAAATAGGTTTACACTTTTTGTCTTAATGTTATCGCAGGCACAACATAGGTTGTTGCCTAACAGGACAGGCTGCATGAAAGAAAGAAAAGAAACATTTCACTGTTTTTCAATTGTTCCAAAAATACTAGTTATTTTATATATAAGGGATTCCTTTTAAGTGTTATGTTGATGAAATCTGTTTGGATTAACCTCCCTTATCACTCTAGCCTTTTGAAAATATTACAGGGTATCACCTGCAAATGTAACTGGGGAGACGTGATTTTACTGAGTATAATTCACATGACACACAATTCACCCATTTGAAGTGTATGAGTCAGTGGTTTTTAGTATATTGAGACTTGTGAAACTATCAATTTTAGTACATGTTCATAACCTCAAGAAGAAAAACCCCACATCCATTAGCAGTTGCTCCCCCATTTCTTCCCAGCCCTCTTATCCTTCTTACCAATCTGCCTTCTGTCTCTATGTATTTGCCTCTTTTGGACATTTCATATGAATGGAATCATACAAAATATGGTTCTTTGTGAATGGCTGGATGACATTTGAGAAAGGTAATTGATTTGGAAAGGAGAAGGAAGTCTATGTGAACAAATACAGCCTTTAAAAATATAAATTTTTGTGTCAGTATATAAATTAGGGTCAGAAATTAGCCAGTGTGCAGTATAAAATTTTTATTCATATAAAATAGTATTTGAAAGGCCCTCTGTTCTCTTACACTTAAGAATGAGCATATATTAATTTACTCCCAGATTCTACTTCTCACAGGGAGTAAAGGACGAGAGGAAGTAGAGCGCTTACACAAGAATTCTGAAAAAGAGCCCCTTCTTTCCTCTGCCCAGTTGTATTGGCCATTGAGAAGCAGTGACAGGAGTCAAATGACAGGTTAAGATTTGTCAAGGGAGCTTGGAGAACTGTGACAATCGAGAGGCTGCTTTTTGTCCAGAGGATTTCCTTAGAAGAAGACATTTTTCTCAGAAACCATTAGACTTAACAGTAAGTTGTTATTAACTAGCTCTACAGATTTTGGCAAGAGTGTTTATATATATCAACCCAAGGTAATGGCAGGTTATTTGGAAGTGTTCCTTAACTAATGATTTCGTTGTAGTAATTTCCAGCAATTCAACTATGGGAAAGTTATCCAACACTAGAAAACAGGGAAACACAGCTGGGCTGGTCTTTTATTTTTTTCCAACTCACAGTGTGTCACAACAGTGAAAGTTCTAATATAATGTCAGTATCAGTTCTCTGGCTTAAGAAAAATGGAGAGAGGGAAAGGAAAGCAAACAGACTCCACATGGAAATTCCCTAGCCAAGGGGGCACACGCACTAGACATAGGTGAGAGGAGACCTTGAGGTCACATGGACTGCATTCTTGTTCCTGGTCCCCAAGGCCAGCTCCTCTTTTTCTATGTCAGTAAGTGCTCTCTGATATTGTGAAGGCTCATAATTTGAGCATCTTTCAGTTGGGTGGATTATTTGTGTCACTATAAAATTAGCCAGTGAAAATTACAGAATTTTTATTCTTGTAAAGTCAAAAACCAGGATTTGAAAGGTAGTCTCTTTTGCTTTCTAAGAATGGACGTGTATTAGAGCAATATGTGTCAGCACATAAAGTGTGCTTCTCACGTGGGCCACAAGGTGTCTCACTTCATCTCCTTCCCTTGCAGGGCTCCTGAGCCCAGCTCGCCTTTCGGTCGGTAGCCAGTAATGCTGTTTCCCTTTCTCCCCAGTGTTCCTAACCGGCAGCGATCGGATTCCCATATATGGCATGGCGAGCCTGCAGATCATCATCCAGTCCACAGCCAGTGGGGAGGAGTACTTGCCTGTGGCCCACACTTGCTACAACCTTCTTGATCTCCCTAAATACAGCAGCAAAGAGATCCTGAGTGCACGGCTGACGCAGGCCCTCGACAACTACGAAGGGTTTAGTTTGGCCTGAGGCTCCTTAGCTTGGTCTTTGTGCCTCAGTGTCCACATACAGGCCTATACAGAAAAATCACGGGGAGTGAGTTCTATTTTTTTATTGCATAAGTGGGTTGGGAATTTTGAATCCTGAACCTGGGCAATGTGTTTCTAGGGTTGTTAACAGTAAGCAACCTTTTTGAAAAATCGGGAGTTGGGGATGGGATAAAAAATCGGCTCTTGTATGCGAGGTGTTCTATTTTTAAACCAAATTACCGATTGTTTGTCCCTTGTTGCACTGTATGTTGCACTCTGCTGGATAAAATGGCAGTGGACTTTCATACTTAAATTTCCTAAATGTCTCTCTTAGCCCCAGTCTTCCCTCACAATGCTTCCTTGTCCTTCTCTTCTCATTACTCTGCACGAATGATTTTGACCTAGCTGACCTTTCTTACCTGCACATGTAGAACAACATCTCCTTTCTCTGCATCCTAGAAAATGCTCCTGGCTTTTTGCAGCCCTACTCTGAGGACAAAGGAGGAAAGGACTACTTCTGAAATTACCAATTTGAACAAGCTGAATCTGGGTCCATTACTTTGGCTGAATTCTTAAGAATTTATGGGAGCCTTTATGAACACATCCTGGTTTAAAAGAAAACTTATTGAGGGACTAGCAATCTCCCATGGCTTTGCCTATTCCTGGACCTCTTTGTAGATGTGCAGAGCAGCCTATTTACAGCAGCTGAGCCTAGTTGTGTCTTGTTGCTCAGCTAAGTTCCTTTGACAATAAGGTGAGGTGATAGGCCCCCCCACCCCTTCGTTATCTCGCTTTTGGAGCAAGTTGCATTAAAAGTATCTTCAAGAGAAGCAGAAATAAATTTCTTGTTCCTTCCGCTATCACAGTATGTCCTCTACCACTTTGTCGTCTTCCCTTTCTCTCTTCATCCCATTCTTTGCTACTGGACTTAATGCTCCCTTCCTCTCCTCCGAGTGGCTGCATGTAGTCTTTTTTTCCCTTTCACTCTTCCCTAATTGTTAAGACTTAAGGACATTCTTCATCATGGAACTTTATTTCATTTGAAATGTTTACAGTGGGATTTCAGGGGGGATTGTGTTTAAAGCAAATATATGTATCTAAAAAATGACAAGCTCGACCTTCATCATGGGATAAAAAAAATTCTACGTGATCAAAGATCGTGTCAGCCTAATTTTAAAGTCCTAGTCACTAGAGAAAATACTTATTTATATAAGATAAAGTATTTATGAACCATGATACAACATTAAATTTCAATGGATTGTAGATTTTTGCTTTTTCTTTCTAAAACTTATTCCAATTGCTAAATTGGTAGTTTTTCAGTCTTTATAATACAAGATTAAAAAAAAGATATACAGTTATATGAAATGTTTATTTTCTATTTGTGTGCATATAGTTCAATATTCTGCAATAAATTTGGTGTTTTAACTTAAACCTATCTCCTTTGGACTTGCAGAATGGGTAGCTTGCTTTCAGTGGTAGAATTAAGTCATCTACCCAAGTAATCTAAGAGGAGGTCAAATATGATTCCCTCCACAAGAAAGTAGAACCAAGTGCTGGAGAAATGGAGAGAAAGACAGAGGCAGGACCCAGGGTAGGGAGAGCAGACATCCTTACGGATGGATGAGATTTCTGAAGGTTGTGATAGGTGAAAAGGCAATTCCCATGGAGGTGTATTTAGGGACCAGCCAGGAACAATTTGAAGGGAGGATCAGAGGAAATAGAATAATATAAATAAGACTGGGGAGAAAGATGGTAGGTTTGGGGCTGAGGAACCAAGCTAAGCATTGGGGCTTGAATTGGTAGCCACAGAGGATTTGTTAAAATGTTTAGAACCTTGGGGAGAGGGTGGGAAGCAGTGATATATAACTTGAGCCTGGTTTTAAGAAGAAAATGTGAATGGGGTACCTTTGGAGAAATCGGAGTTGGAAGGCCTGAGCGGAAAGACAGCAACTGAGAGCCGTGAGGATGGTGGCAGTGGAAACAGAAAAGATTTCTGCACAGGAGAAATTGAAGGTGAATCTGTAATGTATTAACCTAATTAACATCAAGCATATAAAATGGAGCAAAAATAAAAAAGGAAAATTGGGCTAAAACAATTATAATGTATTGTTTCACCAGACTTAATAGATGGTTTAAAGGTGGTATGGAGAGCAGTAGCTTTCCATTAATAAATTCCATTCAATAAACATTTAATAGATAGCACACTTACTTGCTAAGTCTGAGGGACAAAAAAGCCACATTTAATTTCTAAAAGAAGGAGCCAGCTTATTTTAAATTTCTGGCCCTAAGAATCCTCATCTATGAAATAAGGAAATTGGACCAGATAATTTCTGAGATACTTTGGAGCTCTAAAATTCATCAGTCACCAAGAACAGTGCATGCATGTAAAGACACTTAGTATTCTAAATATTTGTTGCATGAAAGATTCTGTGGTGCTTCCAAAACACTATGATTTTTCTATAATTTCCTCTTTTACTTTCATACTTATTGATTTGGAAGACTTTCTTTGGATTAGGCATTTCTGGACTTACCTCCCTGCCCTGCAAACCTCTGGAAGTTTCTTCACTGTTATCTACCAATTTAATTAAATTATTTGGCAACTTTTGGTGGTTGGGATTTAATGAAAGGGTAACAGGAAATTTTGCAAGTTCTGATAGCTCCATCTATTCCATGTGAAAGCCTTTCAATGCCTTTAATGGTTCTCTGTTAATAATCCTGGAGAACGGGTTGGCAAACTATAACCCATGAGGTAGAAAGTAAAACCTATTTTTAAAAGGGTTGAAAATTTTAAGATGTGTATGTGACAGAGATTGTATGGCCTACAAAGTCTGACATTTTCATATCTAGCCCTTTTGAGACCAGACTTGCAGAGTGGGTAACCTTAGTCTTAGGAGGAACTGGGTTACAGTTTGATGTTGAACTACAGAGAACAAGTATTTGGGCCTGTCACAGAACTAAGAAAATCAGGCTTTATCTAAAATTAACTCATAGAAAAGGATACTAAGGTTTTGGCCATAACACTATGTTATGATTGTGTGCTGTGTGGCCTTGGACAGGTTTCTTAACCTCTCTATACTTCATTTTATTCCTATTAAAAATAGGGGTAGAAATAGTGCCTACCTATGGAGTTATGAGAATTAAATGAATAAATTCACGGAAAGCACATACAACAGTACTTAGCACATAACAAGCTCTGTAGTTAGTACTGTTACACCAGTTTTTCACATGGAGAAACTGCCATGTACATACCTAGGGGAGACTGCACAGAAAATATCCAGGGTGGCTACATCTGCTTGGGGCCCAGATCAGGCCCTGACTTCTGTCACTTGCCTGCATCAGTGTGCTTACCTGCAGCTAGTTCCTCCTGTTGTGCACCTGCTTGCCTGTGGCCCAACCCCATCACTGGTCTTTACTGCCATGTGTACTTGGCGAGACCGAGCAGCTCTGGTACTACACACCAACAGCCAGGCCCCACATAGCTGCCAGGGTGCCAAAAGGTTGACTCCAGCCCTTGCTGTCCACCCTGGTGCCCACCTCTATGTATGTGTTAGTAACTGGCCCCTGCCACTACATAGGCATCTGTAGCTGGTCTCTGCAGCTGTGTGTGTGCAGACTACCAGCTCGGGCCTCTACTGCTGCCTCTGCTAGTCCCTAGGTGCTATATCTGGAGGTGCCACTGAGGAGCCCCAACAGCCACTGCAGCCTCTGTGGACTCTCCTCAGTGCTTGTCAAGGACAGTGCAGCTGTAGATGCTCTGGATCCCAGCAACCTAAGCCAAAGAGATACCACGCTGCGCCCTTCCCCAGACTCATTGCCATTACATACTTCTGCACTTGGTGTCCTGCACCACTTGACCCAGGGTCACAGAATGCTGCAGGTGGCAGGTGAGCCCTCACTTACCAAAGTCAGGCCATAAAGTCCAGGGGAGGAGACTTCTTCAAGTGTAGACATGCAAGGTTACAGGGATCACAAAAAATCAAGGAAATGTTTCCACCAAAAGAATACAGTAATCTCCAATAACTGGCCCCAAATAAATGGAGATCCATGGATCGATTGATAAAGAATTCAAAATAATTGTTTTAAGAGTCTTGGGTAGCTACAAGAAAGACAATTTAATGATATCTGGAAAATAATACAAGAACAAAATGAGGTGTACAACAAAGATAAATTTTGGAGTTGAAGAACATGATGACTGAACTGAAGAAGTCGAACAACAGATTCAATATATGACTTGTTTAAGCAGAGGAAAGAAACAGTTGAAAGACAGATCAACTAAAATTATCCAGAAGAGTAAAAAGAAAATAGAAAAGCAATAAACACTTATAGTACTTAAAGGACACTATTAAGAGAAATAATGTAAACATCACTGGAGAGTTACTGACAGAAGAGAGAATGAGAAAGGGGTATAAAGCTTATTTGAAGAAATAATGGCTGAGACCTTCTCAAGCCTGGGAGAGATTTGGACATTCAAGTTCATGAAACTAAGTCACCCCAAAATTTCAATCTAAAATGATCTTTTCCAAGATACAGAATACAATTTTGTAAAAAAAAAATCAACAACAGGGTTTGAAGCAGAGAAAAAAATCTCATGTAAGGGAATCCCCAGAAGGCTATCAGTAGATTTCCCAGAAGAGACTTTGCAGGCCAGGAGAGTGGGATGATACATGCAAAGTACTGAAAGAAAAAAAACCCTGCCAACCGAAGATGCTTTACCTGGTAAAACTGTCTTTCAGAAATGAGATGACTTTCCCTAACAAAGGCTGAAGGAGTTTATCACCATTAGACCTGATTTATTTAAAAAAATGCTTGAAGGAGTTCTTAAAGCTGAAATGAAAGTTTACTAATTAGTAACATGAAAATATACAATACACTGATTAATGTAAGTACATAGTAAGATTCAGAATCCTTAATACTATAAATTGGTGTGTTAATCACTTAAATCTAGTATAAAGGTTATAGGACAAAAATAATAGCTATAGCTAAAATAATTTGTTGATGGGTACATAACAAAATGATAAATTTTGGCATCAAAACATCAAAGGGGGAATTAAAAGGGTAGAATTTTTGCAATTGAATTAAAATTGTTACTAGCATAAAATAGACTTACACTATAAGAAGTTTTATGTAAGCCTCCTGGTAACCATAAAGCAAAAACCTACAGTAGAGTCACATAAGATAAAAAGAAGGGAATCAAAGCATACTACTATGGAAAATCATCATTTCACTAGGGAAGGCAGCAATAGAGGAGAAAGGAACAACAGAATGATAAAACAGCTGTAAGGTGGCACCTTATTTTGTGTACCTACCTAAATATGTACTATCAATAAATATTCTAAATGTAAATTGAATTTTCAAGACACAGAGCAGCTGCATGTATTTAAAAAGAAGGTCCAACTATATGCTACCTACAAGAGACTCAATTCATCTATAAAGGCACATATAGGCACAGAGAAAAGGGATGGAAAAAGGTACTCATGCAAGAAAACCAGAAGAGCAGGGTCAGCTATAATTATATCAGACAAAATAGACTTTAAGCCAAAAATGGTAACAAAAGACGAAGTTCACTACCTAATGAGAAAAGGGTCAATTTATTAAGATTTAACAACTGCAAATATCTATCACCTGACAGAGCATCTAAATACATAAGAAAGGAGAAATAGAAGGGAGAAATAGACAATACAACAGTAGAGGACTTGAATATTATACTTTTAGCAATAGATAATCCAGATAGAAAGTCAACAAAGAAACATTGGATTTGAACAGATTTTAGACCAAATGGACCAGATTCATACAGAACATGTGATCTACCAGCAAAAGAATACACATCTTTTTAAAATACAGAACATTATCCAAAATAGATTATATATGTGAGGTCACAGAACAAGTTTTAGCAAATTTAGGAAGACTGAAGTCACCATGTATCTATACCAACCACAATGGTATGAAACTAGAAACCAGTAACAGGAAGAAAGCTGGAAAATATGCAAATTTATGGAAATCAGATAACATTCCTCAACAAAAAATAGGTCAAAGACGAAATCAAAAGGGAAAAATATCTTGAATCAACAAAAAGGAAACCACATACCAAAAATCTATGGCATACAGCAAAAGCAATTTTAAAGGAAGCTTATAGTGCTGAATGTCTACATTAAAAAAAAATTCAATAAAACTTTAAGCCTCGAGGAATTAGAAAAAGAACTGCTAACCAAGTTAGCAGAAGGAAGGAAATAACAAAGATCAGAGCAGAAATAGAGACCAGAAAAACTATAGAAAAGATCAACAAAATAGCTGACTTTTTCAAAGATGTCAACATTAACAAACCTTTAGCTAGATTAAGAAAAAAAATGACATAACATTGTAAATGAAAGGAGGAACATTACAACTGACACCACAAAAATACAAAGGATCATAAGAGACTGTTATGAACAATTTTATGCTAACAAATTGGATAGCCCAAAAGAAACTGGTAAATGTTTAGAAAAACAACTTACCAAGGTTGAGTCATGAAGAAATAGAAAATCTGTACAGGTCAGTAATGAAGGAGATTGAATCAGTAATCAAAAACCCTCCCAATATAAAAAGCTCAAGACCAGGTGGTTTCACTGGTAAGTTTTACCAAAAATTTGAACTCAAACTCTTCCAAAAAAAATCAAGATGAAGGAACATTCTCAAACTCATTTTATAAAGTCAGCATTATCCTGATATCAGAGCCAGATTAGGACACTACAAAGAGAAAACTAAAGATCAGTATCTCTGATGAATATTGATGTAAAAATTCCCAACAAAATATTAGCAAATTGAATTCAACTGGATATTATACAATGATTCAGCAGGATTTATCCCTGGAATCCAGGGATGGTTCAGTTAATGAAAACTAATAAATAAATGTAACATACCACATTAATAAACTAAAGATAAAAACCATATAATCATCTTAATAGATGCAGAAAAAGCACTGGACAAAATTCAACATCCTTTCATGATAAAAACTCTCAACAGATCGGGAAAAGAAGGAACATACCTCAACATAATAAAAGCCGTATATGATAAGCTCACAGCTAACAATATACTAAATGGGGAAAGTCTGAAAGCTTTTCTTGTAAAATCAGGAACATGTCAAGGGTGCCCACTCTCACCCCTCACAGTACTGGAACATAGTACTAGAAGTCCTTGCCAGAGTAATAGGCAAGAAAAAGAAGAAAAGGCATCTAAATCAGGAAGGAAGTAGTCTTTGCAGATGATAATACTATATATAGAAAATCCTAATGACTCCCCCAAAAATATTAGAACTAATCAGTGAATTTGATGAAGTTATAGTATACAAAATCAACATACAGAGATGAATTGTTTCTATATCCCATATGCACCATTGGTGGGGATGTAAATTGGTAGAGCATTATAGCAAACAGTATGTAGGCTTCTCAACAAATTAAAAACAGAACTACCATGTGATCTAGCAATCCCACTTCTGGGCATAGATCCAAGGGAAATAAAAACAGTATTTTCAAGAGATACCTGCACTCTTATATTCATTGCAGAATTATT